ACCATAAGGTTATGACTGACACTATTGGTGGCAATTTCGGGTACGACTCAAAACTTTCACGATTAAAATTAAGGTTCAAATTCGGGTCAACTCGTCATGACACGTTTAATAAAAATATGAGTTTATGGTCAACTCGCCAACATGCAAAATGACTTACTTAACACGTTTATTTTTAATTTTTATTCATAATAATAAATATGTGGCACGCATAAACTGACATGTTCTATTATATTCCACCATGCACCCTAAGGTAATGGGTTTCAACCCACCCAAATGAAATCCCTTAGCCTAAGACGATCTCCTCATTCTAATTATCATCTCTATTTTGAATTCAACATGTGACATGTTTAATAATTTGTTAAATGGATTAACATGTTTAATACGACACGTTTATCAAATGGGTCGGGTTTGGGTTCAACATTCTTGACACTTTTATTATCTTGACACGACACATTTATCAAATGGGTCGAGTTTGGGTTGAGCATTCTTGACACTTTTATTATCCTAACATGACACGACATTACCCATTGCCATCCCTAGCTTCATGTATAGATGAATCCGATCTAATTCAACTTACAGTCATATGAGAAAATTCACTAGTAGACCCTTTTATATTTGGTTCTTTTATCTAATTAATTTTTTTTTAATCAAAAGAAGAGGGGAATTCAAACTTGAGATCTAAGTACCACTAAATTAAAAGCTAACTGGTGTCGAATTTGTTCTTCTTCTTTTTTTTTTTTTCCAATTTCTTGCTAATATCTTACAAGCGGAATATTGATCGATTCAAAGAACCTAGAGGATAGCTTTCTTTAAAATTAAAATCAACTGAACTAACTCCATAATGTATAATGGATTATCAGCTCCGTACCAAGTTCCAAAGTCACATGAAGAGTGGAGCAAAGGAAACTGGTGGAGTAGGTCTTTTTATTCGCCTAGCACACGCAGAATTAGGTAAGTGATAAACTGTATTGCTTACACAACTCTAATCAGCAGTATTTTTCCTTTTCTGTCTCATATTTCTTGTAATAAAAATTCATCGTTTCAGGTGAAGGAAAACGAATAAAGTTAATGGTCAGCCTCATAGCTATTTGTTTTATCAGTATCTTGGCTGCCATAGTGTTCAGCTTGCACAGACTGCGATCTAACCAAAAGGGTAGGAGAATGAGGTCATCAAGGGATGATTAATTTGTGGACCTTGTGTTGGATAAGCTACAAGAAGGGGAGGAAATAGCAGTAAAAAGACTATCTAGTAGCTCAGGGCAAGGCATAGAAGTGTTCAAGAATGAGATGCTGTTGATTTCCAAACTCCAACATAAAAATCTTGTTAGGATCATGGGCTGCTCTGTCCAGGATGATGAGAAGTTACTAATTTATGAGTTCATGCCAAACGGAAGCTTGGATACTCTTGTATTCAGTTAGTTTCATTGCTCTTTGTTACATAGTGATGGTCAATTTTTTCATTGTGAAGTGCATGGGATTGGGATGTATCGATGACATTACAGTTATATTTTGAATTCCAAAAAGAGCAGTGCTTGATTGGGGTCGACACTTCAAGATTATTCAGGGTATTGCTAGAGGGATTCTTTATCTCCACCATGATTCCTGTTTGAAGGTAATACATAGAGATTTGAATAGGTCAGTAACATTCTCTTGGATGAGAGCATGAACCCAAAATTTTCATATTTTGGATTGGCACGTATCGTTTAAGGCACGCAGAGTCTAGCAAATACTCACAAGGTTGTGGGAACAATAATGTAAGCATCAACTAAAAACACTATTAGAAGAACCCTATTACAAAACTGAGTTTAGAAGAACCCTATTAGAAAACTTAAAAAACAAACTGAAACAAGACAACAACTAAAAACACCATGCTAAAACGAAAGCAAAACAACAAGTAACCATAAAAAGAAACAAAAGCCTGCAAATACCAAGCTGCAGAAAAAACAAAGAAAACTAAAGACACAAAACCCACAAATCCACAAAACAAGAATAATAAACACAATGACACAACAAAAGGAAAACAAAAGTAACAAAGAAAACACCAAGATGATTGTTCTAAATGTAACAACATAACATGGCCAACAAGGCAAAACTTATTTGGTGTTGTAGTAACCATCAAACCACAAGAAACTACTCCAAACTTATCTGTTAACATTGAAAACACCCAATAAAAGCATTAGTAACTGCTCCCAACTTTGGAACTGCCAAGGCTTGTATAGGGGCAAAAACCATGCAACAGAGAGGGAGGCTCCGAAAAGGAGGCCACAACAAAGCAACTCTAACAGTAAAATATGAAGAAATGTGTAGAACAAAATCACATACCACTAATGGAAGAGGAACCAATTAGATGACGTATGATCATCGACAATCACAAGCAACAAAAATATCGTACGTAAAGAATGCGAAAATAAAATTAGATGTTATGCTACCCAAACAAGGACTTAAGGGGAACCAATAATATCTTCTTACGAAATTATGAAACAAGAGCAAGAAATAAGAAACACAATTATGAAATCAAAACCAAATGAAAAAGAATAATACGTTACTGGTCAATGACCAAAGCAAACATGATAGAGTGGTCGCATACAATTTCTCCTCAATTTTCAATCAAAGACAATTCCCATGGGAGCCACCACACATAGCGATCATGGCGATCTGCAAACCGCAGATCTACATGTGAGTGTGGCGATCTGACTGTGCCGGAGCCTGAGAAACATAGAAAACAGAGAGTAAGAGAAACTGAAAAACTGAAAAACTGAAACAGCACTTCCATTCATCTCCGTATATTGACGTTCTTAATCAAAGTTAAGATACTAAAACCTGAAACCAAAAGGTGGAATAGTTCTGTAGTTGGTGGAATTGGGAAGGCAATGGGTGGTTCCAGAGAGGATAAGTCTGTGTCGAAACTTGTCTGGGTTTTCTGTTGTTGTTCGGAAATCTTCTTTAAAAGCTAAATCCTTGAACACACTGTCACTCATATTGTTAATATTACTGAATAAATGGCCTAGGCGGCGGCTAGGCGGGGGCTAGGGTGGCTAGGTAGTCTAGGCAGCTGCTAGGAGGGTGCCAGGCAGTCTAGGCGGTCGCTAGGCGGGGGCTAGGCGGGCTAGGAAGTCTAGGCAGTTGCTAGGCGGTCGCTAGGCGGTCTAGGCAGGCACTAGCGCTTAGAAAAAAACTAAGCCATTTTGGAATCTCCAAGGTCAGGGATGAGATGAGGATGGTGCTGTGAGCGAGAGAGAGAGAGATGAGGATTGAAGAAGAGAGATCGTCGGTTATGTCTGAGCGAGAGAGACGGCCTAGAAGACGGCTCGTGTTAGAGTTAGGGTTTGAGAAGGAAAATTGCATTTATATGCGACATTCAATTCATCAGCTAATTGTAATGTAAACTTTTGAATTAAAAATAAATAAAGAATTGTATTAATTGTAATAACGTGGAAGTACAACCTCAATTTCTAAACCTAATATTGTCTTCTCTTTTTCTCTTTGTATTTGTGCGTTCAAAACTGAAACCTAAGCTAGTTGGTGTAGTGAAGAAGGTACTAGAAGCCACAACCTGGGCGACAACAATAGTGATGTCGTCGATCTTGCCTCCCGCGTGCTCCACCCTCGCCAACACAACTTATAGTCATATGAGAAAATTCACTAGTAGACTGTTTTATATTTGGTTCTTTTATCTATTTTATTGTATTTTTAAAATCAAAAGAAGAGGGGGATTTGAACTTGAGATATAAGTACCACTAGATTAAAAGCTAATTTGTGTCGAATTTCTTCTTCTTCTTTTTTCTTTTTCCAATTTCTACCCCTAAAAAATTTAAATTTATTTTAGAAGTAAAAAAGATAATGAGTAGTTGTGTTCCATAAAAATAGGATCCATTATCTGAATTTTCTTTTAATTTTAATTTTTTTTAATATGAAAAAGTATGAATTTACCATATTATCCTCATTTAATTAATAATTTCAATTCTTAATGTTTGCATTAACCAAGGGCATTTTCTGGTATTTTGAATGTTTCACCATTCTCTGCCTTTTGTTTTATGAGTGCTGCTATTTCCACCTACCCACCTTATTTTCCACCCACCATATAAATTTGAAAAAACATAATCCTATTTTCCACCCACCATTATTCCTAAAATACCCTTTGTGGTGCATACCACCATTATTTTTGTAAATCATCCATAATCAATGTATGAATTTAAATATATAACACGAGTTTGGGAGTTGTCTGTGTAGATAGAAACTGAGGAATTGAAACTAACTTCAAATTTGGGAAGAGTTGAAAACCATAAACATTGCATCACAAATCCAATGGCGGGTAACAAATTTGTTTCCTTGTATTTCAGTTTCTTTGTACTTTAGTTTTACTTTTTTTGTTGTTGGTGGTTTTCCTTTCTAGAAGTTTAGCATTGTACAATATGTTTATCCTCTTCGTTAATGAAAGCCCACTTTGATCAAAACAAAAATTCCAACAGCGAGTAACAAGAACTTGCACAGAGAGAGAGAGAGAGAGAGAGAGAGA